AAGTCACTGTCTGAACGACTAGTGGGTATAAAATAGAGAAAGTTTCTACTTTTAAATAACTTAAAAACTAGTAGTAAAGGTAAGACAAATATACAATAAGACACATGTAAGAAAAGAAGGATCACATCCAACTGAGGCGATATTCTTTAACCACTGGATATCCCATCTTTTTCTCTGGGTTGCTCAGATAAGTGGTAGTCTAGTTCTTATCACTGGAGTTGTAGGGGTATTATAGGTGGCCTGAGAACCTTCCTTCAGTTTTGTGATTCCAGATATCAAAAGGGCCATGCATGGTAGGGCTCAGAGGACCAAGCTGCCAGTCTGTCTCCCAGGAGGCCTCATAGGTTGGCAATGAATTTTCCTTGGCCTGTGGTCTAGTGTTGAGCCTTGCAGAATCAGTTAACTAATCTTGTTGATACGTTGAGTCTTCTAGGAGACTGATGACAAATCAGGAGAACTGTATCAACATTCAGTGAGGAATTGCTGTCACAGAGGCCAGTGAAAATATAGTCTGTATGATGGACGAATCCTCTTTGTGTGGGCAGTCTTTGTGCAGGGCCACATCACAATCATAAGGTTGCATGATTTGCATGACTCTGAACTAGGAGAATATTAATTAAAGATCTCATGTCATCAGACCAGAGTAGTCCAGTGTATATATAACAAGGATAGATGACCTCACTAGTGGGATAGAAATATTTGTAATCTGTGGCTTAGGTCTCCTGCTTCTTTGGAAATGGGCACTGGCAATACCAGAATAAGCTCTATGAGAGCAAGAATTTTTGCCTGTTTTGCTTGTCAGCTGTTTCCCCAGCACTTGGAAAAGCATCTGACACATACATAGCAGGCACTTTTGGTTCCCCTTTTTTCTGCTTCTGTAGCTAAATGCCCCCTTTTTATCAGCACATTCTTCTAGATGTGTTTGTATTTTAACTTCTACATGTGGTTGTATTTTAACTAATAATTCAGTCTTACTGGCCTGAGAGCTCAGTGTCTTTCATGTGCCTTTGCATCTCTATTTGCTAATTTCTGAAAATAGTATATTTTACTTACTTTTATTAGAAGGTACTCCATGAACACCTGTAATGTTTACCACATTGTGATTTTGTAAGATGCTTTGTTAAAGTTCAGAGCTATGTTCACATATAATTAGGTGTATTTCATATGTTTTAAATTACGCAATTTGGGGCCCACTTTTTCTTTAGCTTGGGTGTGACCCACACTGGCTTGGGGAGAAAACTGCCTCTCAGCAAGATTCAACTATTAATAGTTCAGCATGTGCCCAGCACAGCCATAGTGTGATCCTCTGCCAGACTAGTGAGGTCAAACATGGGATACAAGGTCATGTTCCCAGATTTTAAAAAATATCTGCTACATCTAAACAGGATAAGTATGAAGTAGAAAAGAATTTAATACAGTACCAGAATTGACAGACTTTCCAAAGCTGGTTCCATTCTATATACTTCATACAAGGTAGAAAGTCTAAGTAAATGTCATTACAGTAAAAGAGAATTTTCTCCCATCACAAATCCAGTTTAATCACAATGATTAATGAAGGTAGTCACTTGAATAATACCCTGGGAGTTTTTTCTGTTTTTACTATTATGATGAACTTGCACCTTAGAGAATTCTCCCAATCAATTGCTACTGCATGTTCTGTGAGATGTTGTCATTTATTCTGAACAAAGTGGTTCTGAGCAGCTTTTGGAGTAAAGGCCAGATTTTGAAACTGACATTGAAGACTAATCCACTAATGAAACATGAATGTTTGTGAAGCAACTAAGTAGTTATTTTCTTAGCAGAAAGTGAGACTTGAAAGTTGAATAGGATTTAAAGCAGGATGTCACTGTTTTTTGCCAGTCACCAGTGAAAGTTGCAAGCTTTGTGGAAACAGCAAAATGTTTCATGAACCAAATCTAAATCTTGTTTTAATGTAATATTAAAGTGCACGAGTACCAATTAGAGACTTAGAAATGTCTTAAGTAGATCATTGCAAAGCATTATTAAAGCATCACTACCTATATTTTAAAAAGTCATTCCCTAATTTGACCACCGTATCACAGTTGAGTGCCTTTTAGATTCTTCTTTTTCATCTCTTCCTACAGTCGTATATGTTCTTCATGTACACAGTGTATTAAAAAATTGTGTATGAGTCATGCTGTGATTAATTTTACAGATATGGCAGCACTTACATATTCAAATAATGTTTAAGTCTTTAAACTCTTTAAAAACATTCACTTTGGAAAGATATGTATCTTTGTTTTGGAATTATCTTCAAAGCTTTCCAGGTATGTTGTCTTAGATATTCCATGGTAGCAGATATTTACTCTGCATTAAGTTTGATGTTTGGAAGAAGTCTGGAATAATTTGGAACCAGTTGTAGTGACCTAGTTATACTGGAGTAAGAAGTACAGCTACAACCTTGTTATTCCCCTTAAAATCTTTCTGTGGCTCCCCTTGGCTCTTTGGATAGAGTCCAAACTGCTGTAAGGCCCTTCCTGCCTCATCCTCTTCAGCTTCCTCATGCCTCTGGCTACTGAACTTTGGACAGTTCTTACAGAAAGTTTCTTGCTTTGTTTTGCCTTTTGTGTGTGTGTGTGTGTGAGACAGTCGCACTCTGACACCCAAGCTGGAGTGCAGTGGTGCAATCTCAACTCACTGCCACATTCCCTTCCCGGGTTAAAGTTGTTCTCCTGCCTCAGCTTCGAGAGTTCGAGAGTAGCTGGGATTACACGTGTGCACCACCACATACAGCTTATTTTTGTATTTTTAGTAAAGATTGGGTTTCACCATATTGGCCAGGCTGGTCAAGTGATCCACCTGCCTCAGCCTCCCAAAGTGCTGAGATTACAGACATGAGCCTCCCCGCCTGGCCTTGTTTTGTTCTTTATATCTGAGATGAAATGTCTATCTCTACGCCATCCTACCCTCCCCCTTCCTCCCCATTAATGCTTACTCATTCTTCAGGTTTCAGGAAGTCTTTCCTGACCCACATAACAAGTGTGGTTTATGCTGTGTGTTCCTATATTACTTTAAAACACACACTACACTCAATTGCAAATGAAGGTTTTGTTGTTCATGTCTCCATGACTTCTGCCCACTGCCCTTTTTTTCAGTGCTGAGCATAATATCTAGCCATATTAGTTAATGTTTGTTGAATAAATAGTAATGAAGCATGACTTGAAGGTTTTTAAATTTATCTCATCCCATAGCAGTGTAGCTTTTAAGATAACAGGCATTGGAATTTTTTTCACTTACTTTCTGTTGGAATACTTAATCTTGGAAAGCCAGTCTCCACATTTATAAAATGAAAAACACCACCTCCCACTATAAAGATGAAATGAAATAATGCATTACAAAGGGCTAGCTGAACGTGGAATGTTTTAAGTCAAATGTGGTAGCTTATTAAACTGGCAGTTACAAGAAAAGTAAAAATGAACAGTGGCAGCATCTTTGAGTAATTTTGTAGTGTCATTTCTCAAGGTGATTGTTTTGAAAGTTCCTTTGGATTTGTGGTTCTGTGCAATTGTTTAAAGTCCGCCTTTTTATCTTACAAATGGAAATAGGATAAATTGCTTTTTCACCCAAGTATATAGTAAATCACATATCTATATCTTTTGTTTGTTAATAAAAACTATTAGGATGAAAGGTGTTCTGTTTAATGACTGAAGTTTTAAAGTTTATAAAGTAGATCAGTATAGAGGGGCACAGCAGATGGGAAGAATACTGAGATAAGACAGAGCATGGTGTTGATCTGGCTGCCTCCCGCCAGGCATCAGCAATCTTCGAAAATCCATTTAATTCAATTAGTAGACTTACATTAAAAATACTAAATAAATAGGATTGCTCAGAGGATCACTGGTACCTCATAAATAAGAATTAGTGCTGTTCATTAAACCCGAGGTGCTGATAAACACAGGTTTATTCATTTCATTGTGTTCAGCTGTGCTGAAGTACGTACCAACCATTTTGAAAGGTTAAGATCTCTGAGTTTGAAGATAATCTTTTTGATGTTACTGTATATTGGTATCTGAGCTGTGGAAGCAGATCTCCATGGGAGATGTTTTAAATTACTCTGCTAGTACACTTGGACATTTAGCCTGAAGAAATTCTAAATGATAAATTAGTCTGAACTAGAGCAAATTCTATAAGTAAACAAACATCTTTATAGATGAAGTTAACCAAGTTTGTTGATTTTTTTCCTCTTGAATTTTGTATTAGAAAAATTCATTAAGAAGAAAGTAGTGGATTACTAAAATTTTACTATTCCCTGGATTCATTCTAATTTAAGTGAAAAAAGATTTTAAAAATCTGTGAAATATGGTTTTCATTGTCAGTATTTCTGATAACTTTTCCTTGAAAACAGTGTAAAGCTCAGCTATATTGTACTGATCTCTGTTTTGTTTGTTTCTGCTGTTTTTGAGACGCAGTCTTGCTCTGTGGCCCAGGTTGGAGTGGCCTGATCTCAGCTCACTGCAACCTCCATCTTGCCTGTTCAAGCAATTCTCGTGCCTTGGCCTCCCGAATAGCTGGGATTACAGGCACCTGCCACCATGTGTGGCTAATTTTTGTATTTTTAGTACAGACAGGGTTTCACCATGTTGCTCAGGCTGATTGCGAACTCCTGACCACAGGTGATCCACCTACCTCGGCCTCCCAAAGTCTGGGATTACAGGTGCAAGCCACTGTGCCCTGTCATACTGATCTCTTTGAAAAGAGGATTTGTATTAGAATAAACAGGTTCCAGAGGCTCAGTTAATAATTATTTTGTCTAAACTTTATTCAGTATCCATTAGCACTAATCCAAGGGCAAGAGAGGGAGAACATCATACTTGGAGCTCTAGAACATTATAGTTGGTGGGAAGACTTCTCTTGCTCACTCATTTTTTGAAAGAATATTTTCAAGTCTAGGTTTATGTACCATGAACCTAGAAGCTTGGATGGGAAATACTGAACTTCGCATAATGTATAGTTTTGTTGTCAGCCTGATACGTTCTTAGTTTCAGATACACCACCTCCACCGCCACCTGTGGAAGAACCAGTCTTTGATGAGTCTCCCCCACCTCCTCCTCCCCCAGAAGATTATGAAGAGGAGGAAGCAGCTGTGGTTGAGTATAGTGATCCTTATGCTGAAGAGGACCCGCCATGGGCTCCACGTTCTTACTTGGAAAAGGGTAAGTTTCAGAACGGTATCTGGACAGATGGGAAGAAACCTCTACATAGAACTAATGAAATTTGCTGATACTGAAGAGAATCTTGTTTATTTTTTACTAAGTGAAGTTTTATTTATTTGTATTTGTGCCTTTTTACTTAGTTTACAAAGTTCATGATTTTGAAAGTTACACTGGTAAAATTCTGTGAATATTTGATTTTTAAAAAGTGATGGTTACCTATATTGTTCCTATTGGACATGTTTTTTCTAGTTTCTATAAGTGGTTTTCTGTTTCCTTTGGCCTCAGGAAGATTATTTTTTCACATCATTCTTCCTACCTCCATGCTTTAGAACATTACTTTGTGTTACCTTATAATTGGATACTTCAGTTTAAATGTCTCCATACAAAACTTTGTTCCACAGAATAATGGTTTCTCAGTTTCTTTGCCAAGTAATATTGGACATTTCTTTTAGTGAAAAGTTTCTTTGATATTAGCTAACTACAGTGTAGCACTTTGGGACACAAGCTTTCAAATTCATCAAGATTAATCCGCTCAGAAAAAAATGTGTCCTGTCTAGAAGGAATTTTTCTTTTAAGAAAATCAAAGCTTCTAACCCACTAGGTCTCAAAGTTGGCTACACATTAGAATCACTTGGAGGACTTTTATAAAGAAATAAATAGGCTTCCACTTCAGGCCAAGAGAGAGCAACAGTAATCAGGTTTACCCTCCCTCCTAAAACAGGAATTTAAAAAAAACGGCCCCACAAAATAATGGTTTTCAGACATTGAACAAGAGGCACTGGTAGACTATGACCCCCAGAGAGAAGGAAATAATTTTTTCTCTTATGTAGCTACTATAAATGCCACATGTGATCAAGAAAGTAAAAGAAAACATGAACATGAGAGAGACATAGAATATATCTTTAAAAAGAGAAAGAGAAACCCATATATTTCTGGAGATAAAACACACACTGCAGAAGAAAGTATTAGCAACCTTGATGCCATGACAATAGAAACTATCCAAAATAAGGCACAGAGAAAAAAGGGGAAAAAAAAGACAAAAAGGAAAACAGGACAATAATAGATCATGTGAGACAAGATGAAATAGTCTTTATATGTATGTAATTGGAGTCCCCAGGAGATGTGAAAGAAAAAAGATTTGAAACGATCATAGAAAAAAATGTTTCCACATTTGATGAAAACTATATTATGTATTGCTACCTAACAAATTATTCCCCAAATTTAGTGGTTTAACAGATTATTCCCAAAATTTAGTGGTTTAAACAAAACATAATTTCCCAGTGTCTCTCCATGGCCCAGCTGGGCCCTATGATTCAGGGATTCTTAACATGGCTGAAATCAAGGTACCCAGCTGAGGCTGCAATGATCTCAAGAGCTTGGCTGAGGGAGACTTTGCTTTCACGCTCACTTGTGGTTGTTGGCAGGATTTAGTTCCTTGTGGGTTGTTGGCCTGAGGGCCCCGGTTTCTTCACTGGCTGTTGGCCAGAGGCTGCCCACAATTCTGGACCACGTAGGCCTCTCTGTAGAGCAGCTCATAACATGGCAGCTAACTTCATTAGAATGAACGAGCAAGAAGAGCTAAAAAGAGAATGTAGGCAAGACACAAGTTAGTCTTTTTTTCAACTAATGTCAGAAGTGATGACCTGTCATTTTTGTCATTTTCTGTTCATTAAAGCAAGTTAATAGGATCAGTCAACACTGAAGGGGTAGGGATTACAGAAAGGCATGAATACTATGAGGCAGAAATCATTGGGAGCTATTTTAGAAGTTGCCTGCCACAAAACTATAAACTGAAAGAGCCAAGAAGTTCAGTAAACCTCAAATAGAAGAAACAAAGAAAATCTTGCTAAGGCACATGATAATCAATTTGCTAAAAAAACAGATAATCTTACAGATAATCAGAGGGAAAATAATACATTACATAAAAAGGAGCAAAGATAAGAATGACTGCATAGTTCTCATCAAAAAGCTGTTAAGTCAGAGAATTGAGCAAAATGTTTAAAGTAATGAAGGAAAATGTCAACCCAATGTCCCTTTCTTTTTCTTTTTCTTTTGAGTCGGACTTTCGCTCTTGTTACCCAGGCTGGAGTGCAGTGGCGCGGTCTCGGCTCACCGCAACCTCCGTCTCCTGGGTTCAGGCAATTCTCCTGCCTCAGCCTCCTGAGTAGCTGGGATTACAGGCACGTGTCACCATGCCCAGCTAATTTTTTGTATTTTTAGTAGAGACAGGGTTTCACTATTTTGACCAGGATGGTCTCGATCTCTTGACCTTGTGATCCACCCACCTCGGCCTCCCAAAGTGCTGGGATTACAGGCGTGAGCCACCGCGCCCGGCCCAATGTCCTTTTCTTAGCAAAAATATCCTTCCTAAATTAAAGATCTTTATAGACCAAAACAGGAAGGGTGCATAGGAATTAATAACTTGTAGATATACGCTAAGAGATACTAAAATAAACATTTCCAGGTAAAAAGTGATAGCAGATGAAATCTTAGGTCTACAAGAAGAAGTGAAGAATAAATGGTAAATACCTGGGTAAATATAAAGACATTTCCCCATATCTTAGTCTCTTTTGAAGATCACTGATATAAACAATAAAATAATTTATTATTTAATAAATAATTATATTTATTTAATAACTTATTATTTAATAAAATAATTTATTATTTTACATAAATTTTAATGTTATTAAATAATATTTAATATTATTAATTAAATAATATTTTACGTAAATTATTTAATAAAATTATTTATTATTTAGAGTGAATACAAAAGTATTTACTAGCATAAATAATGAGGGAAACACAAGTATAGTCCCCCCTTAATACACTTGGGATTGGTCCCATGACCCCGCAGGTATACCAAAATTAATGTATTCTCGAGTCCCTCAGCCCTGTGGAACCTGCATATACATAAAGTTGGCCCTTTGTAATACATGGGTTTTGCATCCTACAAATACTATATTTTTGATCTGCATTTGGTTGAATACACATGTAAGTGGACCTACACAGTTCAAACTCATGGACCTATACAATTTAAGGGTCAACTGTATACTCATGTAAGGTTCATATACTACCTATGATGTAGAATGCTCTTTGAAAATAGAGTGAGATAAAGATGTATATTGCAAACCTTAGAATAAGCAATGAGAACAAAGAAAACAGAGGTTTAGCAAAAAACAAGTAGGAAATATAAAATAGTTCAAAAGAGACAAAAAATGAAACGAATTTGAACAAGATAGATTAAAGGACACCATATATAGATCCATGCTAGCTATTCATTTCTCTGGGGTTCCTCCCATGTATATATAAGGTATACATGTTAATGATGGTGGCTCTGTAATCCCAGCACTTTGGAAGGCCAAGGAGTGTAGATCACCTGAGGTCAGGAGTTTGAGACCAGCCTGGCCAATATGGTAAAACCCCATCTCTACTAAAAATACAAAAATTAGCTGGGCTTGGTGGCATGCGCCTATAGGCCCAGCTACTCAGAAGGCTGAGGCAGGAGAATCGCTAGAACCTGGGAGGCGGAGGTTGCAGTGAGCTGAGATCACGCCACTGCATTCCAGTCTAGGTGAGAGAGTGAGACTCCATCTCAAAAAAAAAAAAAAAAAAAAAATTTTTTTTTTTTAAACTCACCGTATCAATAATTGCATCAGATGTAAAATGTTTAAAGAAGCTGAATTAAAGGGCAGAGATTGTGAGATTGGATAAAAAGAACTGAATTAAAGGGCAGAGATTGTAAGACTGGATAAAAAGGACCCCAATTGTTATATACTGTCTACAGGAAATCCATTTTTAAATGTAAGAATACTTTTGGGCAAAAGTAAAAAGAATGGAACATTTATCAAAAGAAAGCTGGAATGGCTCTATTAATATGAGGCAAAGTATATTTCAGAGCAAGGGATATAACCTGCAATAATGGATGGGCATTTCATAATGATAAGAGAGTTATTTAATAAAGAGGATATCAAGAATCTTATAAATATATGCATACCTAATAATTGAGTTGCAAAATACATGAAGCAAAAATAGATAAGCCTGAAAGGAAAAAAATACAAATTACAGTTAGAGATTTCAACATTCCCCTCTAAGCTGAGAGAAGAAACAGAAAATCAGTAAGGATTTAGAAAGACAAGAACAATACTACATTCTCTCATTGAAATTTAGGGGTCATTTCATCTAGTAACAGCAAGGATGCACTTTCTTTTCAAGTGTATGAATGCACTGAATACATTTCACTTATATAGACCATATTCTGGGCTATAAACAAAAGTCTCAAGAAATGTAGAGGACTGAAATAATACAAAGTATGTTCTCCAAACACAATAGAATTTATAAATAAACAACAGAAATATATCTGGGAAATCCCCAAATATCTAGAAATTAAACAACACACTACTAAGTAAATTAGTTCAAAGAAGAAATCACAAGAGAAACTAGAGAATATTTTTAACTTAATGAAAATAAGCATACAATATATCAAAATGTATAGGATATAGTATTTAGAGGAAATTCATAGCATTGAATGGGTATATTGGAAGGGAAGGCTTTATAGGAGAGAAGATGCAAGTTACCATGATCAGGAATGAAAGGGTACGTCATCACAGAGTCTACAGATACTAAAAAGATAATAAATAAAGTTATCCCTACACATTTAGCAATTTAGATGAAATGGATCAATTCTCTAAAAGACACAAACTATTATACCAAAGCTTACTGAAAAAGAAATAGGTTAAAAAAATAGGTAACCTAAATAACCCTATATATTTTGAAGAAATTGAGTTTGTAGTTTAAAACCTTCCCACAAAGAAAACTCCAGGCACAGATGGCTTCACTGGAAGTTCTATCAACCATTTAAGGAAAAAAAACCAATACTACATAAATCTTTCCAGTAAATAGAAGTGGAGACGATACTTCTCACCTGGCTTTATAAGGCCAGCATTACCTTGATACTAACATTACAGATGTTATAAAAGAGAAAACCGCAGATTATTATTCCT